CGGAAGCCCGGAAATGGGCCAAAATGGCCGCGCGCAGCGTTTTGCTGCCGGCCATTAAGAAACATCACTGAACGGTGAGTATTTGGCCCATTTGGAACGCATTAAACCATGTTTAATGCGTTCCAATGGAATTCCCTGCCCCGTTCAACAATGCTTCAGCATAGCGAAGGATAATCCAGAACGGATTAACCTCACTATGCGAGGCATCACTGTATATTAGTGATTAATGAAATTATTGGTGAGTGTCCAAGTGTGTGTGTGTGTGTGTACTGTATATGTATATTTATGTATATGTATGTATGTATATTAGTGATTAATGAAATTATTGGTGAGTGTCCAAGTGGAATGTAACTGGTTTGCTCACTGCAATGTATCTATTTCCACATTCTACAATCTTTTTCCAGACTTCCATAGGCTATCTTTTTTTAAAAAAAGCTACTGTTAACAATCTAGCGCTAAACTGCTTCAGTACTGTGTTTGCCGCTTTAAGATGTTACGTCACAACTGGATTTGCCCTTCCCGGCAGACATCCTTGGTTGTTGAGTGAAACCGATTATGATATTGCGCATGCCTTCAAGTGCTTCCTTGGCTGTCACTCCGTGGAAAATCCAGCCTTTACTTCACCTTCAAACATGTGACCCTATATCCTCTTGTATCACTGTATGTTTTCTTGAGGTCACGCCCAGCAACAACATGGATAGGGAGATGCTAATGGTGATGTTGAATTTATTGCTACAAAGTGGAACGCCAAAACCCCACAGTTGTTAGAGGAACAAAAAAATTGTGGGAAATCACGGGGGTGGAAGGAACCTATTCAAAGTAAAGAAAGAGGACAATCATCTTAACGTTAGGAAAAAAAATTCAGTATGATCAATGAGCAACCTAGACGTTAAAGAGGGATGAATGTTCTGTCTGACAATCTCTAAATTACTATTTTAATGTAATGCAGTTACCATAGTTATTGCAAATAGGAACTAATTCCAAATATCTAGTTATATCTACCCAGCTACTTCCAAAAATGCACATCCAATATGATATTGGAATGTGTGTGTTCTATTTTCTGGATTTAGAATTCTGTACCTTGCTTCCAAATTCTATCAAAAAAAATCATCCTTTCTTTCTTGTGTTCTGTGCAAGAACAGTTCCTGTGCTGTGATCTCTCTGTCGGCTGTTTTCTTTTCTTTCCACTGGACAACAGGTTTTCTTAACTGATAAAGCTAGAAATCATGTGCAGAAATCATGTGCTAAAATGCATGGGGCAAAATGGTAATGAGCCAAACCTGGGAAAAGCTACTTGGTTGGACAAATTAACTTTTAAGCTCCATTGAGTTCAGTGTGGATTAATTGCCACTCATTTCAGTGGAATTAGCGCCTGGGAGGATCTGACCTGTCCCCCCTCATCCCTTTTGTGTTTACACAGATCTTAGTAAATGTTTCCCCTGCCTTCAGCTAGTGTCCCGGCTTGCAGCAAAATGTTTCATCAGCTAACTTCCTTATCCTAGGCGACACACTTCAGCAGCTGCATCCTTTCTCATCAAAGGAAATTAAGTTTATAATGAACTTTCTAAAGAACAGCAGAGTACTTGGCAGAGACTCTTGACCACCTAGATTCTTCAGTTCAGATGACAGTCCCACCTGCTATATGTGGTACCTCGCTTTATGATTGCCCTGCATTACGACGAATCCGCTTTACAACAATCTTTTTGCAATCGCAATTGCGATCGCAAAACAATGGTCTAAATGGTGGAATTTTGCTTTGCGATGATCGGTTCCCTGCTTCGGGAACCGATTTTCGCTTTACGACAATCAAAAACAGCTGATCGTCGGGTTTTCAAAATAGCTGCTGGGTGCTTAAAATGGCTCCCCATTGTGCTTAGGGACGGATTCCTCGCTATACACGCACCGAAACTAGCTGCCGTATGGAG